TTGGAAGGAGTGAATTTTCTTGTGGACTGTTAGACAAAGCCTGAAAGTGCATGAAAGTGTCTGTTGCATTTCTGGTCCCACATGAACCTGTGTGCATGCCACTGTGCTACACTATGTAGATACTGTTTTAGGTCTCTGGTAGAGGTGGGATTTGGGTGCTGCTGCCCATAGGATAAGTATTTCCTAAAGGACTTGATACATTTAATCATGTGGACTCTATTCATCACAGCAAATCAATGATTTAATTGCGAGTCAGTGCTGGGCCTGTTGCTGTTCAATATATTCATCAATGACCTGGATGTGGGATTAGAGAGCATCGTCAGCAAGTTTGCGGGTGACACAAAGCTGGGAGGAGTGGTTGACACACCAGAAGGCTGTGCAGCCATTCAGATAGACGGACAGGCTAGAGGGATGGGCAGGGAGAAATTTTATGAAGTTTAACAAGAGCGAGTGTAGAGTTTTGCACTTGGGAAAGAATAACCCCATGTGCCAGTGTAGGTTGGGGACTGACCTGCTGGAGAGCAGTGTAGGAGAAAGGGACCCCTTGTAGACAGCAGGATGACCATGAGCCAGCAATGTGCCCTCATGGCCAAGAAGGCCAATGGCATCCTGGGCTGTATTAAAAGGTGAGTAGCTAGTAGGTCGAGAGGGGTCCTCCTGCCCCTCTACTCTGCCCTGGTGAGGCCATATCTGGAATATTGTGTCCAGTTCTGGGCCCCTCAGCTCAAGAGAGACAGGGAACTGCTTGAGAGAGTCCAGTGCAGAGCCACAGAGATGATGAAGGGAGTGGAACATCTCCCTTATGAGGAAAGGCTGAAGGAGCTGGGTCTCTTTAGCTTGGAGGAGACCGAGGGGTGACCTCATAAATGTTTATAAATACGTCAAGGAGGAGTGTCAGGGTGATGGAGCCTGGCTCTTTTCAGCGGCGTCCAATGACAGGACAAGAAGTAATGGGCACAAGCTGGAATATAGAAGGTTCCACAAAAATATTAGGAAAAACTTTTTCACTGTGAGGGTGCCAGAGCCCTGGCACAGGCTGCCCAGGGAGGTTGTGGAGTCTCCTTCTCTGGAGACTTTCAAAGCCCGCCTGGACGTGTTCCTGTGTGATCTACTGTAGGTGATCCTGCTCTGGCAGGGGTGTTGGACTAGATGATCTTTTGAGGTCCCTTCCAACCCCTGACATTCTGTGATTCTGTGATTCTATGAGTTCAGGAGAGATGAATGTGCTTGTAAAATCAGGTAGGGGGCAGTGAAGGATTTGGATTGGGAGGCTCAAGCTCCACTCAGAAGGTCCTACAAACTGCAGCTGTAGTGTGACTTCTGCCTGACTCTGGTGTTTGACATGCAATTGAACCCATGGATGGGTGGTTGATGAACTCATTAATTTTCTGATTGCTTGACATTTTTTAATTTTCCTTTCATATTTTACTCCCAAGCAGAGATTGACTGTGAAATCATCTGTAAGGTTGAAGTAATTCCTGTACCTCTTTTTGTCAGAAGAAACTACTTGCCGTGGTTAGCTCAGTGGTTTGAGCGCGGTGCTGGCAACAAGAACCAACACCGAGGTCACGGGTTCAATTCCCGCTCCGTCCCCATGTGCCAGGTCTGGTCGAGAGGTGGTGTCCCTGCCCAAAACAGGGAGGTTGGACTAGATGATCTCTAAGGTCCCTTCCAGCCTAGGCCATTCTATGATTCTATGGTGAATCTCAGCTGGGCTTCACTTCTCAACTTGTTACGCACTTCATGATTTTCTTACGCTCTGTTTTAGTTTTTAGCCATCATCAGCTACTTGTTTTAGGGCTCTTCTCATGATCATTCACTCTCTTTTATCTTGTTCCATTTTACCATTTAAAGTGTTTATACTTTTTTCCTCTCTTTACTTTTTCTCTCTTCTGAAGTTTCTGTGGCTCCTCCCACCCCAAATGTCTCTTTTCTCTCCTTGACTTTTATTTTTGCCTCTTCCTGTTTGTTGTAAATGCCACTGCTGTTTGTTTAAAAGCTGCTGTCTTGCTCTGTTTAGGGACCGTCATACAGGATTATAGATATACTTTCCCTTCATGACACATGATTTACTTATTCCAGTAGTGTAGATAGAAGGATTGTTAAAAAATCAAAATGTCAAGGAAGAGTCCATTCTGCATATGAGAAAACACTTGTTTTTTCGTTACTAGCAATTTTAGCAGCTGTTAAAATCAAACGTTGAACTGAATCTGATGAAAAGGAAGAATTGTCACTATCAAATTTTGAAAAGATAAACTAAAAAGGACAAAGTTATTTTCAGTGAATATATTGTCTTCAAAAATTAGTCCAGACTGGCAAGTTTTTCTCTTCATTTGTCTTTTTAAATGATTGCTCACAGGTGGGATTTTCTGGCCTTCTGAAAAACTACCCAATATTTAATGGGTGCTACATTTAGGCTGTTTGCAATTTTGTGGGAGCACAGGCCCTTGTTGATCTGCCATGTGCAAAAGAGAGCCGCAATTTTCTGTAGTCACACTGATTACATCAACTTTGAGGTGCTGGTGTGGTGTGAGGCAAGGCTTCCATCTGTACAACGTGGCTTTTCACTTGTTGATAATCAATAGCAAGTGCACTTCAGGAAGCAGCCTGGCTCTCCCTGCCAGAAAGAGATATATAGTTTATCGGCAGATTTAGTGTTTGCCTTAGACAACTTGGCAAGTGTTTTGGCTGTAGGGAGACTTGGAGTCTCAGGACAACAAGCTACATTAAGGCTCCGTGGGATTTTGTTTATAGGGCTTCTGGAACGTTTCAGACTCCACACCCTAACTTTTTTCCCTGCCTGTTTTGCTGAAAATAACATCAGTCAGATTTGAATTTGAGTCTCCATCAACTTAATATAGGGCAGCTTCCCCAGAAACAGTTATCCCTGGCTCCTGGTGACTGCCATGTGACCACATCCTGGGTCCATGGAGTGGGCAGCAAGAATGCAGGAGGGGAATCCTAAGCCCACTACAATCATCTCTTGCGTGCAGTGATGTCCTGTGCAGCCAGCCCCCTGGTCCTGCCTCTCTTCAACTTCTGACACCTCCAGACAGCACATCTCGAGATTATGGAAGTATTTATCTCATGTCTACACAAGCACTTAACTCTTCTTCGGTGAGGGATTCTGGTGAGTTGTTTGGAGGAGAGAAAGTGAGAAGATGAATTGCAGTGAAAATGGGTTGTGAAGTGAGGTGCAATGCTCCTGGTGGTGAAGTTTCTCCAAGGGAAAGGGGCTGAGGGGAGAGAAGTTTGGTGTCTTAAAAGGATTGCAACTGTGTTTGATTAGGGAGAACCAGACTGAAGTAAACTAGATAAAAATGCTCTTTGTGTTTTTATTTCTTTTATCGCCTATTTTATTTATTTATTTATCTATCTATAAAACACGAGAAGCTCTAAGTGGAAACATGTAGCAGAAAAAAGAAATAAACCCAGGCTCATGCAGGACTCGTGTACTCTAGCTCTGGGCTCTGAATTGACTGGAAACACTGGTAGTCCTTTCTTTCTGACAGGAAATGGTACTTTTTTTTGAAGTAAACCAAGTTAGTGATAATGACCACTCTTTCAGACATTTGAATGCCAGATCTTGCACTCTTCACATGAAGTGTATTTCAACAAAACTATAAGTTTTCTCATCTAGCATTATATTAAACCTGGATACTTAAAAGTCTCTGTGTTTGAGATTCCTGTCCTGTTTTCCACATCAATTAAAATTATGTTGCTTTTGAAAGCAGCTGCCAGGAGGGAATACTGAGAAATGCCAAATTAAATTTCAAATACATTTTGCTCTTTGTTCATGGTGAAAATATTTTTCCGCTAAGGTTGCTGTGCTCAGCAGAATGAGATCAAGTTGCCTCTAAACTCTGCAACATCAATCTAGTTGAGTTTTTAAGGCCATCTTTTGGCCAGCACTGTTGACACCTCCTTGGAGGGCTGGTGTAGTGTGAATGTCTTGGGCCTTGGTTTGAGAGAAAAAAAAAAGGCTAGAAAAACCTTCCATTCAAGCAATCTATCTCTTATCCACCATCTTGGTACCCAACCCAACTGCCTACTAGAGTGGTATTTCTGCGAAACTAGGAGGTTGCTTATTTTTAGCGTATGTATTTGTTATGGTTCTGCTTTCCAATAATCAATGCCAAAATGAGACAATGCAAATTACAGCAAAGTGAAAGGGAAATATGTGTGTAAGCGATTGAAGTCAGGCAGGGCTGAATGGCTTTTGATGACTGGGTCGTAACAGATGCTTCACCATGTGAATGTTTTTAATACCTTTTTTAATTTGAGTATTTGCTTCCCAAATCCAGATTTTGGGTTCGTTAGCATGCTATGGGCAACATCTAGCTGTGTGTGCAAGTCCTGTCTCTGCCCATTTTACATTGCAGGCATTTAGCTTAATTTATATTAGGAAGAGACACTAATTGGAGGGGAAGGAAAAGGTAGGTAGCAACATGCCAATGACAATTAAGATAATGCATCTCATACTATAAGTTTTCATGAAAGAAGCTCTTCTCAGATGTCAAGTAAGCCTAATCAGAATTGGAACCCTTGCAAGGTGGACAGTGTAGCAATGCCTACTTCATATGAATGGGTAAGCTGAAACACAAAGCATATACTGTGTTTAGTTTTACACAATAAATCATAGCCAGAGGTCAGAAAAGAAGAGAGAAGTTCCAGGCCCAACAGGAGCTTGGATTCTCTAACAGGTTTCTCGAAGATGAGCAATAATTACTGAACTTCCCATGCCAAAACTCGTTCCTAGCACGAGGAATGTCGATCAGGGATTTGGTACACAGGCTGTAAAGCAATTCTTAAAAATCTTTGTACTCTCTCTGGAATCAAGATAACTGCCTATTCTACCAATGGCTAGTTATGTCTGACCTCTTTGTGTCTTGTGGCCCTGAAGCAGAACTTTCCAAAAAAGCCGTAGCAACATTTTAGATGGAGTCCCACTTTTTAACAGTCCAACTCACCTCTTTTTCTTCTTTCTTGTTAATCCCCAGAATGCAACAGCAACAACGTCGAATGTTCACAGCTGCCCTCCTGGCACTCGTTTTCATTCTGGCAGCTGTGAGTACCACCGAGGCTGGCAAAAAAGAGAAACCAGGTAAGGTCCAGTGTAATTCAGAGTTAATCCCCAAGACAGATTGCGTGTGTGAGAATGTCAAATGCTTCTGGTTTTGTTATGAAATTCAGGTCGTTTGTTAACCTTTTGACATGCAGGGTAGGGACTTGTGGCTGTGACATGTTTTCCTGTGTTAAATAGGAAAACAGAAGGTAGTTTCCTTGAAAGCTGACAGCGTGACAGCCCAGAAGACTGGAGTCCTTAGTTTATCACAAAGTGGGTATTTCAAGGCAGCTTAAAATTTGCTCTGTGAATAGATTCGTAGTTGACTTAGGAGAACTACATAGGAGTGATGAAAGAGCAGTGATCACGTTGCTCATTCAGTGTTGTGTATGACAATGCTACGCCGGAGCTGTGTGATGTGGAAATCCTCTAACAAAGAGTTGAACTAACTTGCTGCTGCACATAGACAGCCAGACATCCAGCGGTAATTGCTTTCTGTCAGTGATAAGCTCAGACCTCATTACAGGAGAGACAGGCCTGGGGTGGAAAATTCCTATCTATCAAACCCAGTTGTGACGTTTTTTAATGAACAGATCTTTGGGTAGTTTTCTTAAGCTCTTATTTACAGGCTACTTACACACCAGGTAAAAGACCTAGGAGTCTTTCAGAATTAGTGTTCCCATTTAAAAAAATAAGGCGTTTCTATGCATTCTGTCTGTATAGAAATATGAGAAAATGTGAATGCAAATATAAAAGAGCTAGAAGGAAAACTATTTTACATAAGGATATTTAAAGTTACTTGTGATGTTTTGGGGGCCTATTTAATTATTTTTATGATTACTTGGGTTTGATAACATTGCTCTCTTTTTTCATCAGACTTGAGTTTAAAGATTTAAATGAAATCATGTTCCTTCCTTATGTCACTGAGCAGCAGCCTCACCTGTATTAACAGCATTTCAAGTACACTTTGCCATGTAGTTTTTTCTTTGCCTTTAGAGTTTTGGTCATATTCTGACATAAAATGTGGCACGGTGTACAAGTTAAAAGTTTGTATCCCACAGCTTTGTCCCAGAGGAGCTGAGATCCTCTGATACACATCATCAACACATATATTTCTAATCTGTATAGTGCGTAGTGCTTCAGTTGGACGGGCATACGCTTCACTGGGTGAAAAACTGGTTAGATGGCAGAGTCCAAAGAGTTGTGGTCAATGGAGTTAAATCCAGTTGGCAACCAGTCACGAGTGGTGTCCCCCAGGGCTCAGTACTGGGGCCACTCCTGTTTAACATCTTTGGATGTTAAATCGTCCATCATTTGGACGAGGGGATGGAGTGCACCCTCAGTAAGTTTGCAGATGACACCAAGCTGGGTGGAAGTGTCGATCTGCCTGAGGGTAGGGAGGCCCTACAGAGGGATCTGGATAAGCTGGATTGCTGGGCCAAGGCAAACTCCGTGAAATTCAATAAGGCCAAATGCTGAGTCCTGCACTTCGGCCACAACAACCCCCAGCAGTGCTACAGGGTTAGGGAGTGGCTGAGAGCTGCCAGACAGAGAGGGATTTGGGAGTGTTGATGGGCAGCAGCTGAACATGAGCCAGCAGTGTGCCCAGGTGGCCAAGAAGGCCAATGGCATCCTGGCCTGTATCAGGAATGGTGTTGTCAGCAGGAGCAGGGAGGTGATCGTGCCCCTGTACTTGGCTTTGGTGAGGCTGCACCTCGAGTGCTGTGTCCAGTTTTGGGCCCCTCGCTACAAGAGGGACATTGAGGTGCTGGAGAGGGTACAGAGGTGGGCTACCAAGCTGGTAAAGGGCTTAGAACATAAGTCTTGTGAGGAAAGGCTGAGGGATCTGGGACTGTTTAGCCTAGAGAAGAGGAAATTGAGGGGAGAGCGCATCGCACTCTACAACTACCTGAAGGGAGGTTGTAGAGAGGCAGAGGTTGGTCTGTTCTCCCTAGTGGAGAGTGATAGGATGAGGGGAAATAGATTTAAATTGCACCAGGTGAGTTTCAGGTTAGATATTAGGAAGAATTTCTTCACTGAAGGGGTTGTCGGGCATTGGAAGAGGCTACTCAGGGAGGTGGTTGAGTCACTGTCCCTGGAGGTGTTTAAGAGATGGGTGGATGTTGCGTTGGGGGCCATCATTTAGCTGGTTGATAGGGCTGGGACAAAGGCTGGACTCAGTGATCTCCAAGGTCTCTTCCAGCTGAAACTATTGTATGATTCTGTGAAAACATTTGCATGCCACTGGAAATAGAAGTATCCTTTCTGGATGAGTCCTCCTGCATATTTTGTTCAGTGATCCCTGAGAGTTTCTAGATGATCAAGAATATCTCATCTGAATAATTTATCCTGCTTTGGAGTCAAACAGGCTGGCCTGTCTTTGCAGAACTGTGAAGAGGATGCCAGATCTTTTGCAGCAATTGTTTTACGAATGTCATCCTCATTCACCCATTTGGGTGCTGTTACCATTGATTCTGACCACTTCTCTTGCTTGGGTTTGGTCCCTTGTCTTCATCCAGAGAAAAAGGCAAAGAAGTCTGACTGTGGGGAATGGCAGTGGAGCGTCTGTGTGCCCACCAGCGGTGACTGTGGCCTGGGGACGCGCGAAGGCACTCGCACTGGAGCTGAGTGCAAACAAACCACCAAGACTCAGAAGTGTAAGATTCCCTGCAACTGGAAGAAGCAATTTGGAGGTAAGCATCGCTCTCTCAAAGGATTTGCTTTCATTTTTACTTTTTGTATGGAGCAGGAAGCTTGTATTTTCTGCTTAGCTCTAGAAATGTCTTGGTGAAGGGACTACTACTAGCTCCGATGAACTTGAAATACATGTAAGGCATCGGAAGGCAGCATCTTCAGAGCAAAGCAGCTCCTCTGCAGAGAATCCATATAATCTACTTACTGTAAACTCAGTCTTCCAGGAGCGGGCTGAAATCTGCTCTCCTGTGGTGTACATCCCTATCTGAGGCAGCAATGTAAATGTCATGTGTTCACTCACAGCTGTGAATCCCTGCGATGCTTACCACAGGCTTTACATGACCTTGTGATGTGTGATTTGTAGTATGAAGTGTGGGTGGTTGCCAGTGTGTGCAGTGAAAGGAGTAAATGAAAACCAGTGTATTTTATCTATCTTATTTGGTTCAGAAGGTTCATACTTAACAGTTCAGACAGATATGTCAGATCTGTCTGGGACAAGATGCTTGTCCAGGACTCAGGTCTGATTACTCTTGCAAACTTGGCTTTTTTTTCTGGTGTACAACTTGTATGGCTTTGTTTTCACTGTGACCTTACCAAGGCAATCAGTGCTGCAGTTTCAAACTTGACCAGTTCGTAGTTGCACATACATTCTTGAAACTATTCAAGCCTTATTTGGTAATCTTTGACATCACACAAATGGAGGAATGGCCATATAGAGCATGAATGACATGTCCCACTGCTGTTATTTCTTTCTTTAAAACATTTATTTATTGTGTATCACCATAGCTGAATGTATTTTCCTTTATATGACAGTAAAGCAATATCTGTGCAAAAGCAAGAAGTTTAAATTTAAAAATATTTGGTGTGTCTGTCGAGGGAGGCAGTAATTATCACTGCAAATTATGTTTAAAGTTTTCTTGGGATTCCTTTCTTCAGTTGCATGATCCTTTTGTCTACAAGCACTGACTGTCTATGATATCCTGTTAGACTCACATCCTTTTTGTTTTCATGTTCAGTCATTTTGGTTTAAAAATTGCCATTTTTTCACTCGTTGCAGCGGAGTGCAAATACCAGTTCCAGGCCTGGGGAGAATGTGACTTGAATACTGCCCTGAAGACTCGAACCGGAAACCTAAAGAGAGCCCTCCACAATGCTGACTGCCAGAAGACTGTCACAATCTCAAAGCCCTGTGGGAAGCTTACCAAACCCAAACCTCAAGGTAAATTCCATTTGCTGAAAGCTGCACGCTAGTTCATTTAAATCAATGGATTTGTGATGTCCCATGTGCTTCAGTGGGAACTCAGTAGTACAGGAGACTGTAATTTCATGGGTTTTCCTCGGTTCTGCACTGCTTCTATCTCTCAGCAGCCAGGCAGAAAATATTCCCAAGTTGTATAGTTAAGGCAGTGTCACACGCGAGAGGGAAACTGAAGATTAGAGCTCCAATTTTAACCTTAGACCACCTGTACTGCTACCAGTTTGCTGATGAGACTAGACTTGTTGACTACAGGTGCTTTTCATAACTCAACAGGAACAGACCAATAATAGCATGTAAAAACGTCTCTCAGTAAAGACACCTTTTGTATAGGTTTCATTTGGTATCAAATAATGACTTTTTGAAAAATGAACTGCTTTCCTTCTGGACAAATAGTATTGAAGGAATGTTCTGCTCCCTGTACACTGAAATATGTGGATATTCTGCATCCTTGGGATTGTATATTCCTTATTCAAAGACAGCAGGAAGGAGAGCACAGAATGTATCTGTCATATTTAAATGCAAGTGACAGTGTAATTCCTACTACACAGAAAGGCATATGCCCTGCATTTGTGTTTCCAGGTGGCCCTTGGACAAACTTATTTTCTTTCTAATCATTAAAGCCTTTAAATGTACTCTTTTGCTGGAGTAGCAGGTGTTCTGTGTGTAGGATGATTTATAGTGGGAGCTAAAGCTGTGAGATCTTGTTTGAGATACAGAAGTAATATGTTTTAAGTGGATTATACGAGCTATACTGCTCTAGCATTTGTTTGCTTAAAACCAGCTAGGTTTAACACATTCCAGACTCTGAATACTTGGATAATCATAAAAATAAATGTGATTAGGAGCGACAGGTGCAACTGGGACAAGCAATTCTCAAATTGTGGTTGGTGGTGCGCCATTGATCTGAGGAGTACTTGCAGGTGGCCTGCCCTGCTTGTGCAACCAGAGCTGCGCCTGATGAGGCTGCAGACACGTTCCGTGTGTGTGCACGCATCCATCTGCTTTGCAGTCTCTACAGCTGCAACTGTTCTTCCTCACACGCTATCCATGGAGTTAATCAAATAAAGTGCCGAGTCTAGAACCTGCATAGATAGTGACAAGCTGTGAAGCAGAAGGGATGCAACTAGATTGTTCAGCCGACTTGGTTGAGTTGGCAGCAATAAACATCTTCATTTGGGGATGGAAGTGACTGGGTGGGAATGCAGGAAGGGCTTTGAGCTGTGCGATTTTATTGTTTATGGGTTTGGGGGGAAGGACTTTGTTGTTGTTTTTGGTTTTAGAGTAAGTTTCTATGCCTAAGTGGCATCTGGGAGTTTACTGAATGAAGCTTCCTATTGTGCTGCCAGAGGGCTGCTGCTGCCTCAGCTACGAGCAGCCCTCTGCCTTATTCTGCTCCTGCTGAGTCAGTATATTCTATCCGTGGCTGTCAGAAATGGGGAGAGGGAGACAAAGCAGAGCGTTGATGTAGCATCGTTTTGTGAGACCAGTGCTATTGGGTAGTACAGGGTTGTCTTCAACTTACAATTTTAAAGGCAGAGCTTGTGAAATTGTTGGGTTGGAGTTAACTGATTTTCAATGTGAGTGAGTCATAGCAGAGACTGAAACCCAGACTGGGACTGACCACAGTAAACATAGTTATGTAGTTTGACTGAATTAGGAAACCTGACTTCATTTGATTTGATGGAATGCAAAAGGAGAAATATGTGCAAATATAGTTTTGTGGTCATGACCGTGAGCAGGAATTCTGCTCTCTTGATTTGCATTAGAAATCTCACGTTGTCTTCCTGCATGCCACCTGCTTGTTCATCTGCTGTTGGCATTAGTCGGAGCAGCACACAGCAAAGTCACATACTTGCAGCTTGCCTGGGCCCTGAGCTAAGATAAGAGATCCATATTTCAGATCTGTGGGTATAACTACGTGGGAGCTACACTGGACAGTGTGTTGGCAGCAGTAGGAGGAAGTAGACTAAGAAATTAGGTCGAGGAGATTAGTACTCTGTGAAATGTTGTGCTCTACTGAACTTCATTTCTGAATTGGAAAGCTGAGAGCTGACATGTTAGATGAAATAAGAGCACTTGTTTTCCTCCTGAGGTGAAGGAAATCATAGGTTGGGGGTAAGTCCCTACCCACACCTAGATAAAGGAAAAATTAAACCGTATTCAATCTACAGTTTGAATAGGACCCAATTTAATTCTTTGGAGATGAGAAGATCTAGATTATTGTCTGAGCATTTGGAATGGACTGTGGATACATAATAGCCTCCTGTTTCACCCATTGCTTCACACAGTGACTCAAGACTATTCAAGAGAATAATCATATGATACATTACTTGGAAGCAGGGTCTTTTTTTGTCTGAGGCACAGTGTTGTGTAAGGTCTATATCGATACGCAGCTAAACGTGTAAATGCTAAGCAGTATACTCCTACTGTGATTGCCAGGAGTAACAGGGCAGTGGCTCTCTGGCATTTGGGAATGCTGGTAGTAGAGTAGTGAGAGGCTTACTGATTGCAGAAACCTGTTCTACCACTAAATGTTACTCTTCTGGCTGCTGTGTGCTTCAAGAGCTGCATCACTGAGTACATCTCTGACAGCAATAGGCTGACAGTACCAAAAGTAGATGTGAACTGACTGAGAATATTACAAGATTAAAAAGTACCACTGTATTCAGGTAGAGTTTGCTTTTATGATTTTCCTAACTAACTCCCTTTCCTGTGCCCTGAAATTCTCCTTCCTTTAAGTTGTGTTTGTACTTCTCTGTTAACATCACTTTTCCTTTTGATTTCATGTTGTAAATGAGATGAGTAAAAGCCCCTACTTACTTTCTCCAATCAATTGCAGTTTTATATATCTTCTGTTACTTTTTGTCACTTGCCACCTTTTAAAGCTAAAACCTCTGACTTAAGTATGTCGTTGTATAACAATTTACCCATGATAAGAATACTCTCTGCTGGACTTGCCTAAATTCCTTCTATTACTGCAAGATAATTTTTGAGGTGAAGAGACTGGACTGTACACAGGATTCCAAGCACGTCATCTACAGATTTGTGTTGAAACAGAAAGTGTCATTGTAATGCTTCCTTTGTTGTTCATTACACCCACTAAATAACCTAAATATGTCTTTCTTTTGATCACTGCTTGCATGTGGAGTAGATATCTTTTGAGATCTTCAAACCTCTCTCATTTTTTTTAAAAAAAAAGGTAAATAATTAGGTTAGTTAAGAACCCAAGAAGGTGAGGTGGGTGGGCAAAGCAAATTATTTCATCTAGACTTGCCCGATGAAGTACTGTGTATCAGGCTTCACCTGACACATTTCCTTAGTGTCTTGGTGTTTGAAGTTCCTCCTCACCTTCCCTATTCTTTGAGAAGAATGCAAACAAATTGATGTTTCCTGTAACTGCCACTCTCCTGTTGCTTATCCACCTTTCCGTTTCATGGACATGCAGCAGCTTTGCTGGTAGGATGAGTCCTGTGTCTGCTATTTCACAGGAGTTTGATCTATGGTTAACGGGAATAAAAACTTGCCTGCAAAAAAATCCCAAGGGTTATAATTTTGCAGATTTTCTGATAAAGTATGCTTTGGTTTTCCAGGAACTTCCATGAGCTATAACAAAGATTCTACTAAATTAAACCAGGAGGTACTCTTTAACCTTGGGAATTGATGCCAGCCTGATCAAGTCGTGACCTAAATGTTCTTATGGATTTGTTTTAATATTATTCAGCAATCATGGAAAAGCCTTAAAGTCTTTTTGAAGCATTTTGATTAGTTTGGAAGGTACAAAAATCCCCCAGTATTTTTTCCTTATTAGGTAGTTGCACTCTCTCAGTATTTTTAATTCTGAGCAGTTGACTCTAAGTATGGATGTTTTGGAGCTCACTACTTACAAGAGGTGAATTAGAGAAACTCTGCTGTATATCAGATTTAAGGGGGAGAGCAGATCAATATGATTTTCATCTAGATTTCCAATGAGCTGTTTTCTCTATAGCTCTGCTCTTAGATTTGAAGACATTAGCTTGGTCTTGGGCTGCTGTGCTCAAGTGTAGTTAACCAAGGATGAAAACTGTCGTCTATTCCTGAATATTGTACGTTTGGACAGAGAGATTGTCAGTAGTGTGACAGTGATATCCCAGACACCATGGTTTGTGTATCTAGTACATAAATGAGGTCATGAGAAAGCCTGCCACAAAGGCTGGAAAGGATGAAAGGATAATTTTTATCACGAAATCCCGGCGGATTCAGCCACCTCTCCTCTAGCAAACACAATTGCATATTCTAATCAGTGTCAGCGAGGCCGGGGATGTTCAAGGTCTCCCTAAACTGTCTTGACAGATGTGAAAGACTCAGGCACTTCTGTCGAGTGGCTGTTCTAATGGCCAACTTGCACTGGAGAGCAAAAAAACGCTTCCGACATGCTCCATCTGGCCTACTTCACGGCCACCCAAACTTGATTGATGGTTGTTTGAGTTCCAGCCAGCCAGAAAGTAAAAGAATGGGGTATTGTCAGGATTCAGGAAACATTTTGTTTTAAACGCTGAGAAAGGAGGAATTTATTTTTATTGAGCTGGGTTGCCTGGTAGGCCTTACTTCTTTTTTCTCTCTTTCCATCACTCTCGTCTGTCCTCTCTCTCTCTTCCTAACTATTGTACTTTCATCTATTTATTCATCTGATTAAGATAAAATTAAATAGAATAAGCACTCTGCTCTTTCTTCAGTGTACCCTTCATTTTTTGAAATATGGTTCTTTCTGATAAATTTTTCACTTGGCTTTATTAGTTCTTTTTAATAAATCTCTCCTCCCAACTTTTTATTAATTTACAGTATATTCTCACTCAGCTCAGTCCTTGCCACATGGGAAAACTGTTCCAACTAAGGTTGGCAAACCTGCTTACGCCACTGTTGTGTTTAATCATTAGGGTAGCATCCAAAGATCAAATCTTCCAACATGCAATATTTGGAAACGT